CGAGTAGGAAACTTTGCCCCCGCTACTCCACTCACTGGCTGACTGCTACTTCCTCCGTGCACACCGGCACCACCACTACTGGCCGTGGTGGTAGGCTGCAGTGGAGCTGGTGCTCTACTCCGTGGACGTTTGGCTCCACTGACACTGCTGCGACCCTGCTGCCTCTCCTGGGCAACCCACCGACTGTTTTGCTCGCTGCCAAGCTGCACCCCTCTTCTCCTGATGATGCGGAAGAAATTGCCTGATGACGACGAGGCTGCCAAGTGCGATCAACCTCCTCATCATCAAGTAGGGTCTCCGCCTCACTACTAGCCCCCTCGGCTGCGTCTGGGTCAGGAGACAGACCTGTCTCTAGACCGGCTACCGAGCCACTCTCCTCGCCAGTACTTCTTCGCCTGGCTGCTGAAAAGGCGGATGTCTCCCCCCGTTCCTGACCGCCCTCTGTTAGCTCTTCCTCACTGTACAGTGGGGCTGAGCCCACAGCATGCGATACTTCGCTTGGTGAGGGAACAGCAAAGGAACTAACGGTTGTGGTCTGACGTACCCACCGACCGTTGGCTGTAGGTGTCAGAGTGACCTGGGAAGAGGAAGACGACCGAGCCAACCAATCGACTGACGGCAGGGTTGTCGGTGGAGACACGACCGCATCCCTGACAATACCGTGACCTACGGCCTCAACGACTGCAGAGTAGTGTTTGTCTCGTTTTTTCCCTGGTGGGGGGGGTTTTTTTGGGGGTATTTGTGGAATGAGGGGTGGTCTGCCTGTTTTTTGCTTTTTTATATGCGGGCTGTGTCAGTTTTTTTTTGTAGTTTTTTGGGCCGGTTTGTTGTGTTAGGGGATGTGGTTTTTTTGTTGTGGTGTTGAAGATGGTGGATGCCGTATGCGAAACGAATTTTTGGTGGGTTTTATGGTTTTGCCGCGTTTTCTGTTTTGATTTTTCTGTTTTATTTTTTGTTCTTACTATTGCCAGGTCCCGCTTGGGGGGAGGGTTTGCTGGTTCTGCCCCTGGGGTAAAAATTCTGTGGTCCCTAAAACAATTCTTTTTTCCCCTCGAAAAAATTTCCCTTTTTGTCCCTGAGTAAAAATTTCTGGGGCCTAAAAATTTTCTTTTCCCTAAGTAACTTCTGTGCCTTTCCCCGTAAAAATTTCCTGGGGCCCTAGTAAAAATTTTGCCCCCTTTTCAGAAACAATTCTGTGCCCTGTCCTGGAAAAACTTTTTCTTTTGGCCCTAATAAACTTTTTCCCGGTGGGCCCTAATAATTTTTCGGGCCCCTCAGTAAAAATTTTCTGGGGCCCCAAAAAGTTAAAAAATTCTGTGTCTTCCCTAAGAAAACCTTTCTGTGGCCCTAAGTAACTTCCCTTTTGGCCCTCGGGTAACAATTCTGTGCCCCGAGAAAAATTCTGGGGCCCTGGGGTAACTTTCTGGGGCCCCTAAGTAACTTTCCCTTGGGGCCCCAAGTAACTTTTTGGGGCCCTAGTAAAAATTCTGGGGCCCCTAAGAAAAGTTTCTGGGGCCCAAAGAAAAGGGGTTATGGGCCCTCATAACAATTCTGTGCCCCGAGAAACCCGTTTTTCCCGGGTTTGGCCCCTAAGAAAAAGGGTTTCTGGGGGCCCCCTAAGTAAAATTTCTGGGGCCCCCCAGTAACAATTCTTGTCTGTCCCTGAGTAAAAATTTCTTTGTCTTGTTCCCTAAAAATTTTAAAACAATTCTGGGGCCCGGAGAAACAATTCTGTGTCTGTCCCAAAAGTAACATTCTTTGTCCCTAAGTAACTTTTTCTGTGGCCCAAAGTAACGGTTCTGGGGCCCCTCAAAACAATTTGTGCCCCGAGTAAGGGTTTCTGTGGCCCTAATTAACGGTTTGTGGCCCTCATAACAATTCGTGCCCCTATAACAATTCTGTGTTTTTCCCCCGGAGTAAAAAATTCTGTTCCCCTAAGAAACCCGTTTTCCGTTCCCAAATAACTTCTGTGGGTTTTCCCAGAAACCCAATTCTGTGTCCCTAAGAAACTTTTTCTGGGCCCAAAGGGTAAGGGTTTCCCGGGGCCCTCAAAAAATTTTCTGGGGCCCAAAAAGTAATTTCCTTTTCCCGTGTCTTGGGCCCTTAACAATTCTGGGGCCCCCTAAGAAGGTTCGTGGCCCTCAGTAACAATTCGTGTCCCTCATAAAAATTTCCCTGTGCCCTGCCCCCTGATAAAAAATTCGTGTCCCTAAGAAAAAGTTTCTTTTCCCTAAGAAACGGTTTTCTGGGGCCCCCTCATAACAATTCTGTTCCCCCGAGAAAAACTTTCTGGGCCCCCTAAAAAAATTTCGGTGGCCCTAAATTAAAAATTTTCTGTGCCCCCTCAAAAACAATTCTGTGGGCCGGGTCCCTGTGCCCCAAATTCTGTGTCCCCAAAGTAACTTTCCCTGTTCCCTAAGAAAACGGTTTTCTGGGGCCCCTCAGTAACAATTCTGTTTCCCTGAGTAACTTCGGGGGCCCCAAAATAACGGTTTCTGTG